ATTAAAGGTGAAGTATTAGGTTCTTAAATCATGGTCCATGCTTTTCTACCTCTGAGCTTTTTATCGCATTATTCCTTTTAACTCAAATGTCCTTGCCCCGTCTCCTTGGCCAAATCCTTCCCAAACTTCAGGTTCAAATATAATGCCACCTCCTCCATGTTTCCTGCAGTCCAAAGTCATTTCTCCCTCTCTTAACTCCCACAGCACTTTAATCACCCCGTTCCCTTGACCCTTACCACATCCCCCTTGTATTTTTGCCATTGTTAGAAATGGTTCATTTATTCTACCAGGCAGGTTCATTAAAGAAATACTAGCATATTATCTCTGTTGCCCCACATTCTCTAGAACTGTATCGGACACAGATTTGGGGATCAATGATTACTACTGCCTTTGTAAACTTGAAATTCTTAAGGAACCAATAAATAACCTAGAATGCCAATTTATTCATATGCACTGAGAACTACAACTGCCAGGACAACAGGGAGCTCTTGTCAGTTTAGCCAGCAGATTTTTTTTCCTTTTAGAAGAGGCCTAAGTAGAGAGCTGCATTGTATTCAGAAGTTGCACATGGAGCAAAGAGAATAGGCCAGGCAATTTTCATGAATAATAGCACCAAGCGAGTTGCCTGAGCATGAAACCTAACCCACCGTCAGAGCCATACTTCTCAGTTCTCAGGTTTGGGCCTCATCTTTGCTCAGTGCTCCATAAACACTAACAAAGTTTTCCTTTACGACTCCATTTTTCTATTTGTACACTAACCACCCCCCTTTTTATGCAGTTCGCAGCCTTGGCCACACATTCGAATCACTCGGAGAGCATTCAAAACTCCTCATGTCTAGATAAAAATCCAGGTCAATTAAATCAGACTTTCTGGAGATGGGCCTCAGGTCTTGTAATTTTTTAAATCTTCTGGTGATTCTAATGTACAGCCAAGGTTGAGCACTACTGTTATACTGATAAATTTTTGTTTAGTTATGTCAATATTGCTAAGCAGAAAACAGACAAGTCCACCCTTTCCTGCTTTTGGTGGAGAGTCGTATGTTCTCTGTCAACTGAAGATATGTGATCTCACCTATCCTCTACTGCATCTACTAAGTGAGTGCCCAGGTTTCTGGGGATGCCTTGTCCTCACCCAAAGGGACAAACTTCAGGTAGTATCTCACAGGTCTCTAGTGCAGTACATTGTTAGGGAGCCAGCAAAATAAGGCGGGACAAAATGCTTTTGACATATATAACAGGTAGAAGGATCCAATGTTTTATCTTTTACCATTAGTGTTTGACAGAAATGAGGTGGGAGGCAGCTGGAAGCAAGTGATAAAGAATTCGCGAGAAAAAAAAAAGAAATTTCTGAGTGCTAATTTCCTTCTGGCTCACTCCGTGGGTCCACGTGATACAAAAATGAATCAGAAAAAGATCGATCTCACATTTAAAGTTTGAGATGGTTTCTAGTATGTATAATGTGCTGAGTGCCAAGAGACATAAAATGCTATGGGGTGGCAGTAGGGGGACCAGGTGGGGAGAGATTTCTAGCCAGGAGATTATGGGAGACTTTCTAAAGGAGGTTGCATTTCTGCTGGGCCTGGGAGGATGACTAGGACTTGAAGAAGGACATTCTGAAACAGAATGGTCCAAGTACAGATGAAGAAGTGTGAAACTATGCAGTATAGACAGGAAACAGGAAGTAGTTCCATTTAACCCTGGGGGGTGGGGGTGGGGGAGAAGAGAAGACACCAATATTTGAAATACTCTCCCACTTTGGTAGTTTTGGAACTATTCCCCACCAAAGATTCAGTTAGATCTTGACAAGAAGTTGTGAGAGTTCAGTTATTTGCTTTTCACACTCATAATCTGATGTGATGTGCCCAAAGGGTTGAGTGGTGGATGTAGCAGCCTCACGAATGCATTTATATATTTCAATCTTGCAAGGCCCCAAATTAAATTACAAAAGAGCAAACTTGGAGATAAAAAGACCAACTATTTCAATGGTAATGGGCATTTTCCTATGAGGTGCAAGTTTGGCCATCTATTTCCAAAATTATCTTACCTCAATAAAAAGAGGGTAATGCCAAGCTTGTGCGAGTTAAGAGCAAATTTGGGTCTGAAGATTAGAAATATCTCTGTTAACAACAAGACCCAGTGATCCGCACACATCATTCCTTGGGAGTCGGGGAAGTGACAGGCTGACAGCTCAGCAGCATGGAGCCCTGGAAGCCCCACAGAGGTTCCCCCCGGCCTGCCTACGGTCGTCACCATGGCAACGCCCCTTCTGAGAGAGTAGCTCAGCCCTTGAAAACCACCAGAATTTAAAAATTAACACAGATGATCCTGGACTGGATCCTGTGCGAGAAGAAACATACAGAAATGTCCTTTCTAAGGATATAAATGGGACAAGTGGGCTATATTTGAAGATGGATTATGGATTGGAAGGGTGGTTCTCAAACTTAGATGTGTTTTGGACTTGCCTGGTGGACTTGTCAAAACAGAGATTGCCGGACCCCACCTCCAGAATTTCTGATGCAGTACGGCTGGGGTGGAGTGCCCAAGAAATAGTGATACTGCTGGCCTGGGATCACATTTTAACATGTACTGGATTAAATACCAGCATTGTTTTTTCCTTAAAATCAAAAGATTTTATTTATTTATTTGTCAGAGAGAGAGCACAAGCAGGGGGAGCGGCAGGCAGCGGGAGAGGGAGAAGCAGAGTCCCTGCTGCAGGGAGCCCAATGTGGGACTGGATCCCAGGACCCTGGGATCATGACCTGAGCCGAAGGCAGACGCTTAACTGACTCAGCCACCCTGGCATCCCACCAGTATTGTTTCAATGTTAATTTTCTGATTTTGATCATTGTACCATGATTATATAAAACAGTGTCCTTGGCCTTAGAAAATACAGTAGTATTTAGAACAAAGAGCCATTGTGTCTGCAACTCCCTCTCAAGTGGTTTAGGAAAAAATATAGATAGATAGATGAATAAATAGAATGATAAAGCAAATGTGGGTAAATTATAACAACTGGCAAATCTGGACGAACAGTGCATTGTGTTATTCTTATAACTTTTCTAGTAGATTAAAATTACATTAAAGTTAAAAATTTTTTAAAAATAAGGCAGGGAAAGAAAGTTCTAGCTTATCATCTGGAGCTGTCCAATATGGTAGCCAGTAGCCATACAGGATTATTTAAATTTAAATATATTAAAATTAAATAAAATTTAACATCCAGCTCCTTGATCACACTAGCCACACTTTGTCATGTGCTGAAAAGTCATGTGGGACTAGTGACTACTGTATTGGACAACACAAATATAGAACATTTCCATTATCACAGAAAGCTCTATTGCACAGTACTGACCACAGTGAAAAATACTGTTAAGACCAGGAAAGAATCTTTGGAAAATCCAATGTGCCAAAAGCAGCAGTAGATGTAACAGTAATAATCGTAAGTAGTAGGAGTCAGTTGTCTCCCAAATAAAATAGTTGATTAACTGAAGGGCTAAAGGAAGAAAAATGATTAAATTATAGCAGATGGATCATACTGTAGTTACATATGGAAATACCTATAGTTTTGCACGGATTCATGACATACATGCCAGAGTAGCTGTTCATTATCACTGTTCTACACAACTCATCATTTTGTTTTTCTTAACAGTCCACTGGCTAAAGGAGAAGTAGACATCCAAATGTAGGGGTTCTCCTGCCCCCATTCTTTCCCCCTCACTTTCTTCCAAGCACAGGAATGGACAAGGAAACACCTGGCAATGCTGAGCTGAGGAGGCTGACCTGCAGGGAAATAGCTGAGACTTGGAGTATCTCAAACTTGCAGATATTTTAACTGGGCTTTCAGCTTCATATTGGCTAATAAACCAGCTAATGTATCAAGCAGGTAAGGCTGGCTTTTGTTGCTATCCCTACTCCTTCCGAGTTTCTTCTCCTGCCTCTTCTTTTCTGTATCTCAAACACACACAGCACCCTCTGGTTGTCCAAAGTTTCTGACCAAACAGGGCTGCCTTCCATTCTAATGAGCATCTTCCTTGTTTCCAGCATCCTTTTTTTCAGGCCTCAGCAACACACACGTGATGAACTGACTAAATTCGCTCTAAAATATGAAAAGCACCAAATTCCCCCAAGGTGCATTTGGCTAAGACTAGCTCCCAGAATGTTCTGGGAGATACTTTTTAAGCAAGGTCATCTTCATGTTCTCTCTGCCTGACCCAGCCGTTCTAACTCCCCTCTACCTAGCCTCTCAGGAACAAACATACAGATTCATAGTACAGCTGCACCTTGTCAGCTTCCCCCTCTGGCACCTTTCCAAGCAGTTTCAGTCTCAGTTGGAGCTCAGTAAAATGTACAGCTATTACTTGCAGAGAACATGGAGTGGCAGGGAAAAATGCAAATACATGAAGCCATAAATCACAAATTGATAAATATGAAGAAAGATTTCCATGAGGAAAATGAGCCATATTTCCATTTCCAAATTTCCATTGGGCAAAATGAGGAACAGGCCTAGAACCCAAAACTCAAGAGATAGACCCTCTGCTCTGTCCAGGCCCCTGTTACAGCATTTAAATGTCCATCTAAGCATTGGACCATTGTAGAAGGTTTGGGTGACCCTCCCCTAAACTACTCCCTCTCCAAGAAGCACTCTCCCATAGCAACTACTCCTTCACTGGAAGTGAGTTTGTCAATTACCCAGAGATCATCATTCCTAGCTGCAAGACACCATATCCCACATCTTTATAGCTCAGCTTGTGGGTTTTTTAAGTTTTTATTTAAATTCCAGTTAGTTAATATACAGTGTAATATTAGTTTCAGGTGTATGATATAGTGATTCAACACTTTCACACAACACCTGGTGCTCATCACATCCTTAATCCCGATCATCTATTTAGCCCATCCCCCCCAACCTGTGGTTTGATCACTGAACTTATGAGATGTCTCCTTACAGACAGCTACATACTGTGAAACAGATTTTTACCGAGAATTCCAAAAGAGGAGAGTCTCACCTCACAGTACTCTGTGATAATGCAGAAATTATCTTGCTCCACAAAGCTTGCATGGAACTTGACAATAGCCGGGTGGTCCAGCTTGGAAAGGAGCTGGGCCTCCAAATTGGCCTGCACAGTCTCATTTGGATTAAGATCTCCAACAGAGATTTCCTTCAGTACCTTTCTGCAGGCAAACAAACAAACAAAGATAAAAATTTAAATACATTTAAAGTTAAAAAATAACAACTATGAACAAGTAGTTCAGGGCCACCTAATTAATGTGCAGGCCACGACCTACTCATGGGTCTGGTATTGTCTGTTATGACACTGTGTCTCCTCGTGGTTCCTGGTCCTGCTGGCCTATCCTGGCCACTGACATACTTGTAGCTCTACAGATGTGGTCAAACAGGGCAGAGCCTGAGCTAATCTCGAGCAACGCTGCTGAGGTGGCTCCTCCTCTGCCTCTGTAGATGTCTCGGTTTCCCTTTGTCTTTCACATAGTGTCTCTGCTTCCATCTGTCTCTTTCTGTCTCTCTGTGAGCCTCTGTCTCCTTCACTCTCTCACCTTATCTGTTTTCCTTTGCTTTTCTATTTCTCTCTATTCCTATCTCGGTATCTATTTCTGTTTTTGTGTGTGTGTGTGTCTCCCTCTATATGTATTTATTAATCTATCAACTCTGCCTGTGTCAGTCTTTCTTTACCTATGTCCTTCTCTCTCTCTCTGACTCTGTGTCTCTCTGCCTCTGTGTGGGTGTGTGTATAAGCATGCTTCTTTCAGTTCTAAAATTTTCCAAATCTAACAACTTAATATCAATAGGGCCATTATCTATTGAGTTTCTTTTTTAAACTACTCTTGGCAGAGCATACTTTATTGCTGTCGGTATTTAGGAGAAGAAAAAAATCTAAAAACACTGATAGAGAGGTATTTAGGATCTCAAGCATGTATAAATGGAAAAAGAGCTCATTAAATCTCCAAATTAATTTTAAAACTGTGATAACTCAATGAGGAGTGGACCAAAACACTACCTCTTCCCATCTGAGAAAAAATAGTCTGATGAACAAACCAATTATAGTACCAAGTGTAAACTAGATTGCTGAGGAAAAGCACTTTAGAGCACCAATTATGTGTGCAGACAGATTCTGCTGATTATAAGTGAACGTTAGCTATTCATTAAGGCAAGTTCTGCAGAACCCATACTACAAAAAAGATGTTCTTTAATGCATATTAATGAAAATGTATTTATAGTAGAAACAGTCTTAATTAAAGGCCCTTCAACCAACACATGGATGAACCAGAGCTCTCCAGTTCTTTCTAACAGATGCTGATGGTTGCCTTTGCCATAGGGAACACTTGTGCCTAGTAGGTGCTCTCTGGCACATCCATTAACTTCTGCCCTTCCAGGCGAGATGTGTGCTTAACCGAGTCATTGTGCTTATTCCCGAACTTGATTATGCCAGTTGTACTTGTTACTGTAAATTTGTGACTTCAGTTTGACAAACTGATGAAGGATGAGTATGAGTGTTATCTTTGCGAGGAAAACTGAGTTAAATGTTTGCCAAAAAACTTGATAGTAACAAGTTGCAAAAAAAAAAAAATGCTCATTATAATTGACAAGACAGTGCTAAGAAGTTGGGTTAAAAATGTAAAATTGAGTATTTTGAATTCAGATTGCTAAATTTTCATTCCATTTTAAAGAATGTAAACCTGGAAAACAACATATATTGGATGTAGTTTATGCAAAAAAGATGAAGGGACCTCTAATCAGAAAACATTAGATGTTGGTTACGCATCAAAAAATGGGAAACAATGTACAATGATATGTTTTAAGTTGATATAAATGTTTTCATTATGTCATTTCACTTAAAAATTGTTTGCCCTGTTTACCCATTGGATAGGAGAGCTCCTATCATCCTTAAAAATGTAATTATACTATGAACTTTTCATTGATTCAAATAAGACTTTTCCCTAGTTGTTTCACTGTGGAAGAAATTTCCTGAGGCAATACCAGAGACAGAGCCTGTTTCTTTGTTCAGACTCAGGCCTAGAAGCTTAGCTATTACAGTTAGCACTGTATCCTGTAGTTTTTGCCCATCCCATTCCTCAGTGGCAAACATTTCATAAAAATTCTAGGTTAGACCATCTGTCCTAGAAGCTGAGACACTCTGTAGGAAAACTCAGAAAGTGTCCTTATTTTACCTGATTCCTATCAGGTGTTGGATGACATTTGGCATTTTTTCTTAACCAATAAACGCTTGATGTTAAGTGTCCATTCTTCGAAATCTCATCAGGAGAACCTTCTATTTCAAGATGGCCCTTACCGGGAAATCAATTTTCCTAAAACTTGAGTCCTTTATAACATTTTATTCATTTTAAATGTTCTTCATGGTCTTCCCAGTATGAACTCATCCACCCCCAAAAGACCAGCACGGCAGGCCCTGGCTGCATTAGAGAGGATGGCCCTGCACCAGGAGCCCCACAGGCCCTACCCTGCCATTTACAGGAGTCTTTAACTAGGACTGCAATTTAGAAAGTTGGAACATTTGATTCCCTTCCTCTGATGGGGCTTTCGTGTTGGTTTTGTTAGGTAACAAACACCTAATCAGGCCCCTAATTGATCATGAAGTGGATTCTAGAGAAATACTTGCTTGGTGGGGCGCCTGGGTGGCTCAGTCGTTAAGCATCTGCCTTCGGCTCAGGTCATGGTCCCAGGGTCCTGGGATCGAGCCCAGCATTGGGCTCCCTGCTCGTCAGGAAGCTTGCTTCTCCCTCTCCCACTTCCCCTGCTTGTATTCCCTCTCTCACTATCTCTCTCTCTCTGTCAAACCAATAAATAAAATCTTTAAAATAAAAAAAAAAGAAATACTTGCTTGGTAACATTTTCTACAAGAAGACTGTTCCATCAGGAATTTGGTTAAAAATGGCCTCATGTTATTAAGAGTGGCATCTCGGACTGTTAGTGTAGTAAAAGGAGCTTGAAATGACATCAGTGGCTATGTTTTTCTGTAACTTCTGAAGATTACCATGCAGCAGGCAAAGCTCAATGACATCTTTATAGTGTTTTTCCAGTAATTTACTGTGCCCAGCTAACATGCAGTTGTAAAAGTCACAGTGGTTAAGCATGACAATATAAAGCCTGGCACAGACTTGCAATATTCTCTTGCCGTGAAGGAACAAATGCTATAAAAATCTTAAAAATACTTATTTTTCCTCATAAACATCAACTATTCTGCAACAGAGCATGAGATTTTACATATAGTTACCTGAGCCCTGTCTGGCAGCCTGACGATAAAGCAAAAAAATCTCATTTGCCCACAGCTTAGCAGACGAAGGTAGGGCTATTAAGACAGGTGCTATCTAATATAATCATCTCTAGCTGATGCAGAGACATTCTACCTTCCTTACCTAAAATTGTGTCACTGAATTGACAGAGGAAACTCTCATTGCATATCACTTAATATGAGATCAATATCAGCTGAAGACAGCATGAAAACTTACCAAATCAAGGACAGCCTGTCACCTACTCAGTGACTCTCAGCCTATCATCCACTCCTAAATAACATGACAGATATTTATTTGATCAGAACCTCAACTGTTTGGGAGAAACTTTATGACAGTGGCAAAAAAAACAAAAAACAACAAACAACTAACAGGCATCCCTGCAGACTCACTCATTTTACAAACTTTCTTTTTCCCAAGTGGCATGCTTATTTCTTCCTAGAATCAGTAGCAGACTGATAAACATCAGAGAGTGACTTTGGAAATCTAGGATAACTATCGCTAATTTCATTCCCTTAAAATTCAGCCACTCATGATGTATACGAGGCAGATTATATTTTTGAGATGTTAACCAGAGGGTTGTTTTTTCTCAAATTTCTATTGAACCAGCAGCATATGTCCTCAGGAAAAAGAGGATATCTCACAAACTAGAGAACAAGTCAAATCCCTGGCTTTTGATTCCAAAGGAAAGACCAAGCCTGGAGAAAAGATCTGGAGGAATACCTGGCCAGTGGGTGAGTGTCCTCCCTGCCTCCAGCTGAGAAAAAGACCCTCTGGACCAGATAAAGGTAAAGCAAGAAAGTTAGATATTGCTGAGCCCTTGAAAACCTTTCATGTCCCCTAGGCTGGGTCCAGAAAGAAGGGTAGGAACAGAACTCCAAGATGGGTAGAAAAGCCTGAGAGCAGAATAATTGTGCTCTCTTTCCAAAGTAGGGCATAGAAAAAATAGCAGGACCCTCACAGTTTCTTGTGTCCAGCAAGGGTTAGGAGTGAAAAAGGTCTTTAAGGGGCAAGAAGCTGATGAGCCTGAGAGAGTTCCGGAATCTTCTTTATCCCAGTGAGCATGAGGAGCAGCAGAATGACATCCCATGCAGCCACAACCATCTTAGTGAGGGTTAGTCAGCTGTACTGGTAGAAATCTTTGCTGTTAGTCTAGAGATAACTAGCTTCTCTTGTGATTTAACCATCAACAATCCTGCACTGCATGCATACTGTAAGCACCTACTGTGTGCTTATGGTATAGCAGGCACTGGGGATTTGTAGGCCCTGCCCTTGTGTCTACTGAGGAAGACAAATATTAAACAAATAGATAAATGTACATGACTGTGCGAAAATACATATATTTTTGAAAACCTCAAATTGAGATGAACGCTATGAAGTTGAGGTAAATGACATCTGAGGCTCTCCTCATTTAAGATGTTATGACTCTTTGGGCGCCTGGGTGGCTCAGTTGGTTGAGCGACTGCCTTCAGCTCAGGTCATGATCCTGGAGTCCTGGGATCGAGTCCTGCATCGGGCTCTCTGCTCAGCAGGGAATCTGCTTTTCCCTCTGGCCCTCTTCCCTCTCGTGCTCTCTATCTCTCATTCTCTCTCTCCCTCAAATAAATAAATAAAATCTTAAAAAAAAAAGATGTTATGACTCTTTAATGTGATCAGCAGCTACTGTACCCACTGGGGACGGAGCCAAAGGAAATAGATTTCAATCTCCGCTTAGGTGAGGGTAGTTTTTTATTTGTTGTTTGCTTTTTTTTTGATTCAGTATTCACCTGTTTAACAAAGAGAGATTATTAAATCTGCTCAGGACTTTTTTTGGGGGGGATTGATTGATTTATTAATTGATGGATGGATTACTTTATATTTTAATTCCAGTATAGTTAACATGAATCTGCTCAGGACTTTATTAAATA